ACATTTATAAAAAATGAAAAACGGTCTTCGTTAAGCGACGATTCTTTACCGCGTCTTATGCGGCTTGCTACATCCAATATGCCTATCGATATCCCTGACTGTGAGCACGCCTGTGAAAACTTCCGAAAATCGGTCTAAATAGTCATCATTTATTTCTGCTTCTGCCCGGTTGATTAAAGGTCGTATCAGTCATCAGTGGATTATGCCTACTGGGGATACCACTATAAAAAAAACGCGTCAACAATAGTACCTCAAGGGTGATGAGGAGACCTATTGAAAACACATTTACGCTCCTGAGCCTCGAGCGGCTCGTAGGCTTCGCGAGGGACAGCGAGGTAAGGGGGGTAGCGCTGGGAGAAGCAATTGAAAATCGGCCGCAAAGTGACCTACGTCGCCGAGCTCTGCCCTAATGCAATGAACTTTACATATTAAATGAACTAAAATAAATAAATATTTTTTCTCCATGCATTTAAAGAGTTAATTTTATAATGAGAAATTTCTTAATAGCAACAAATAAATCATAATAATAATTATTTTTTATGAAGAGAGAGAGAGAGAGAGGGAGAAAGAGGGTGCAAAAAAAATATATATATATAATAAATTGAGAATTAATTCATTCTCTGTGTATCAAATATATGAAACTAGCAAGTTATAAATCAATTCTCTATGAATGTGTATATGTATAAATGCGAACGATCTGTAGATGTAAGCATCATAGGAAAGCGTGCGAACGATATATATGGAAGCATACGGAAGGTTACCGAGTATCAACAGAAAACCGGGTGACGAGAGTAACCGCTCATCGAATTCGAGGGAAGGCGTTAGTCGAGCTAGAACACTCGAAGACGAAACTGGTGTACATACAGCAGTCAAGAAATACAGTCCACTTTATTTAAGACACAATAATTCTATCAATTTCATTCCTTTTATTTCGATACGATACAAAATGGTCCTTCGAGCCGGATTCGCGTGTACAATGACGGTGAAGCATCATTAGCGCAAGGCGTGTTGTGCATTCAGGCGGGTCGGCGGAAGAAGATTGGTAATTTTACAAGCGACATTGTTTCATCAAGGAGACTCGACGAATTCGAACTCAACGGTCGCAACAGTGATCCGTGTGGAAAGAAAGGCTAACGATTATATATCACGATGAGCGTCGAGCAATTACGAAGGCAAAGAGGAACGGTCAAGGCAAGATTGACAGTAACACAAAATTTTATAACTCGAGCAACCGAAACCTCAGACATTACGACGAAGGAGGAGCTCGAAGTGCGCATACAACGTCTAGATGAGGCCTATACAAGGTTCCAGGATATCATGCAGGAATTGGTGAACATAGTGCCCGAAGAGGAATATCAAGAACGAGATGCACCAGAGGAGGAGGATTTATTAATACAGCGATTGTCAGAGCGATCAAACGACGGAAATGGTGATGTGCTATCGCAAATATTGGAGCAGCAGGGTCAGATGCTGGTGCAGATTCGTGCACAATCAAATACTCCACGTGAATCGCACGTCAAGCTACCTATCATAAAGTTGCCGACGTTTACCGGTAACATTGAGGAATGGAAAAGGTACGCTGACACGTTCAAAACTTTAATCCATGATAGCGAGTTGTCGAACGTTCAAAAACACCAGTATCTCGTGGGATCACTGAGCGGTTAAGGTCATCGAGTCAATCGAAATCTCCGATCAGAATTACACGATTGCTTAGGAATTATTAAAAACCCGATATGAAGACGAGAGAGCCATTCGCAAGCGACACATTCAGTGTTTATTTGAGGTG